GTCATCCTCTAGTCCTTCATCAGTGGTCACAGGACGCTGTTGGCTGGATATTTTTGGTTGGTGGACTATTCTCGGTCCAGCAGTGACACTGAGGTGTTTGAAAACTCCAGCAGCACTGCTGTGTCTGATCCACTCATACCAGCGCAACACACACTAACACAGTTAGTATTGTTTGTCGGAGTCGACAGTCAGAGAGAGAGTCGAGTCATGTGCGAGGGGCACAGACTCAGATTTTTGGCCTCTTGATCGCATTTCAGACCAGTTGGAGTTTATCAAACGTTTGATTTTTTGACCCGACTCTGAGTGAAATCTAGTGTAAACTGGTCAACGACTCAATCTGAATGGACAGCCGATGAAAACTGAGGCCGTGTAAGAAGAAAATACAGCAAGTAAACAAAGAACAAGGGCGAAAAGTCTCTGATGTGTAGAGCGAAGCTTTTTAATGAGCTGAGTTTAAGGCACAATTGAGTTTATGTAGGTTTAAAACTCTAAAAATACCAAACTGATCACATTTAAATCCATGATCCACTTAAACATGTTTACCTGCTGCTTCTTTACTACATCAGCGCAAACGGCAGAGAAATGAGCAGCAGCAGCTCCACCTTTGTTTATTTGCTTCTTCTATTAACGGGACAACGCGAGAGTTCGCGAGAGTTCACGCGAGATTGCTTGAGTTCAGTGAGTTCCGTTCAGTTCAGCAGCAGGTGAAAAGTTGTGTGTGATCTCTAATCATTTAGTGTGGGTCCCCAGTGTTTCGGTCGCCCAAAGAAAGTCTGTAAAAACCAGTCTGACAGTGTAAGACACCCAGTCTTTTAGAATCTGTTCAGACTTTGAAAGTCGTGTAAAGAACCCAAGGCTTAAGCCAACTAGAATTAAAATAGGACAGTGCATAATTTTCTATATCGGTCCAGATCAAGGGCACCGAACTACAGATGTAAACGCACCCTTAATCTCTTCACTGGGATCTGGTGGTGAATCTGTAAAATACCTTATCCTTGAATAAAGTTAGGAGGAATATTGGTACGTTGATGCGAGTGCTCTTGTAAAAAATAACACTGCTTTCTTCCCTCAATCACAATGGCTCTGTACGTCAATGCGGAGGACCGGTTGGCGCTCCAGGGTAACCACCTCCTACACTAGGGGCACTGCAATACACAGCAGCTCGTAGATCTCACTCATGCAGTCATCACAGGGATGTTCGGACTCAAACATGTTTCATAACCCTCCTGCTAGGAAAGCTTAAGAGGTTGACGTGTGTTGGGCTGAGCTGCATGTGTGGGGAGATATCTGTGATATTCTAAAACCAAAGAAACCCACACACACCAGAATGATCAGGCACTGATACCATAAGTGCAATAAATATGTAGCTGATCTCAAAGCTACTGTACTGATGATGTTGCATGAAAATAGTGCTCAGAAGTGCAGTGGCCATGCATATGTCTACGTCAGGGTGGTATAGAGTCCACACGTTATATATTGTATTCTTTTGCGTTTATGTAATTTCACTTAGTCATCCTATTCAGGGATACAGTAAGTATGCTGTGAATGGAGGCAGCGCTCTGTGTGGGATGTCTGCCCTTATCCTCTTGACAGTGTGTATATTCTACTCATGCATACTCATATCGAGAACTCTTCCTCTCAGCTCAAAATAAAAGTATGTGTCCGGATGTATTTTTGCCTCAAAAAGAAAAATAAAAAACGTGTTTCTGTAGAAAAGGTTATGCAATCCATTCAGAAGTTATCTCTCAACTTAAAACCTCTTATCTTATGCAATACATGGGGCAGATGAATTACATGAGAGGTTTTAAGACTTGATATCACTGACTGTCTCAATGTCATGAGCCGTGTTGAAGGGGAGGGAGATTGGTGTCTTGCTCCGGTGGCATCAGTCATTCTAGTGTTGATGGGGAAAGGCCTTGCATTTATCAGAGAAGGGGCCCTGTATCCATGCCCCCGTCCAATCGGGACGCCAAGCTAGACAGATTAATTAACAGAAGGAGACACTTTCGTATGTGGATGATTTGCAGCAGCAGCAGGTCCGGCTTGCCATTAAGTGTGATATATGAAACTGCTTCTGGCCTTCGTACATCACCCTCTTCTAGCTCTAGGCCATGTTGCCTCTGAGCTGGCACCATCACTCTTGGAAGCATCACCTGACCTTTGTTTCACTGAGGAAAACCGGTAGAGGTCACTTTTGAAGGGGAATTTCCTTTGATTTATCGACATTTCTGCATACTTAAAACATCAAGATGGAAACAAAGTCATGAGGAGTGGTTAGATGTGAAATGCCTCATGGTGGAGTGTTACACCTCTAAGGGCTATTAATCACTCATACATTGCCCAATGCCTGAGATGATAGTTTTGAGATAAGATTTTGGCTTTAAATGTGTTTTTAAAACACTTGCAAAGCACAGAGGTACATGCAAGGTGGAGATACACATGCAGGGTGTTGTAAGGCAAAATAATGCCCATTGGAAACATATTTTTTGGAATTTACCACTATTTTATAATTGGCGTGATATAAAATATAGAACATACACCGATCAGGCATAACATTATGACCATCCATATGTCCATTTTATCGGCTCCACTTACTATATAGGTGCACTTTGTAGTTCTACAGTTACAGACTGTAGTCCATCTGTTTCTCTGATACTTTGTTAGCCCCCTTTTACCCTGTTCTTCAGTGGTCAGGACCCCCATGGACCCTCACAGAGCAGGTACTATTTGGGTGGTGGATCTTTCTCAGCACTGCAGTAACACTGACGTGGTGGTGGTGTGTTAGTGTGTGTCGTGCTGGTACGAGTGGATCAGACACAGCAGTGCTGCTGGAGTTTTAAACACCTCAGTGTCACTGCTGGACTGAGAATAGTCCACCAACCAAAAATATCCAGCCAACAGCGTCCTGTGGGCAGCGTCCTGTGACCACTGATGAAGGACTAGAGGATGACCAACACAAACTGTGCAGCAGCAGATGAGCTATCATCTCTACAAGGTGGACTGACAGGGTAGGAGTGTCTAATAGAGTGGACAGTGAGTGGACACAGTGTTTAAAAACTCCAGCAGCACTGCTGTGTCTGATCCACTCATATCAGCGCAACACACACTAACACACCACCACCACGTCAGTGTTACTGCAGTGCTGAGAAAGATCCACCACCCAAATAGTACCTGCTCTGTGAGGGTCCATGGGGGTCCTGACCACTGAAGAACAGGGTAAAAGGGGGCTAACAAAGTATCAGAGAAACAGATGGACTACAGTCTGTAACTGTAGAACTACAAAGTGCACCTATATAGTAAGTGGAGCTGATAAAATGGACAATGAGCGTAGAAACAAGGAGGTGGTCATAATGCTATGCCTGATCAGTGTATATAACATCTGAAAGCTCAGAAGATACATGTAGGTTTACTGCTTGTTTTTGATATCTAGAGCTGTAAGTTTCTCTACAATTAATCATTTTACATCAAACCACGTTCAATTGCTTTGTCATCTCAACAAGACAATTATGCAGAAAATTTGTGAAATTCTTCTTATAAATAGCTTGAGAAATAAAGACAAGATGATGCAAACTAAAAATAAGGCTGTCTACATTTAGACAGGACAGAATGTTGACATTTTTAGGTGATGAGCTGTATTTTGTATGTTTCCATTAGAATTTTCCATATTCTTCCAAATTGGCAGCAGCTAAATAATGCCTGGCTTTGGGAGAAGATGAGGTATATTTGTACAGTATAATCCAAAAGAGAGCGGTTTAGTCAGACAGCTCTTTCTTCCTTTAGTAGAATGGAACTGGCTTTTACATATGCATTATATGACCCCTGTAGCACTGATGTCCACACTTGGTCTATACCATTTTAACTTGAAACCAGAAATAAAATCGATCCAAGGCCATTTTAATTGGTCTCCAAGATTGCCGAGATGTCAGTCTTAAAGAGAAAGCGTACAACTGCTGATCATGACAATGTGAAAAGGATATATGTGCATATATTTCTCCAGCCACATCCTTTTGTCATGGTATTCTAATTTGTCTTGCGCACAAACATGACCTTTCAGTGTCGGGTTGGAAGAGTGTTGAAAATGAACATTACCTTAGGACATTCTGTGTCTTTTTATAGCCCTTATCATAAACATTGCGTCAACCTGCATAGCGAATATCGGTACATAAAAATGTACCAAGCCTTTGTGCAGTAAAAACATTCGCCCTCGTGCCTCAAACTCATGATTTGTCTTGGTTGGTGAATGCATATTTTCCTATGTCAGGCATGGAAGAAAATGAAAACAAAACGAACCAAAAGTTAATGTTTCAGGTGCTATAAATACCAGTGGCTTTTCTGCCCTGCTATTTTTAGTGCTCACACTGGCTTCCAGACATCAACGTCACACAGTTTCCTCACTCACACTCAGGCAGCTCTGTCTGTTGCAATCGAGTCTAAGATCAGGAAGTACAATACACAGAGAACATGTTCAGCATCTTATCTTCACAAACACTAAATTCACTTGTGATTGTATTTAAATTTTGTTGTAATTTGAAGCTTTATAGTTGATTGTGCTTCAGCCACATTTGTCTCTTCTTTTATAATGTATATGCATGTGACAACAGAATGCTAAATAAAAAAGCAACAAAGGAAGAAAAAATGGCAGTAGTTTCTTCATAGCTTGCCCTTTAGACGCCCACGCACACATGACGTTGAACGTCACTTGCGTTCCACAGGCTATTTTTACACACTTGTGTCTTTTTAGGAACTGAGTGGGCATGGTTGTTAATGATGACTCATGGATTGAGGGAGGGTGGTAGCTCCTGTTTCAGTTCATTGAAGATTCTCAACATGCTCATTAGACCAGATCATTACTTCTCTTTTTAGTGCTTGTGTAAAGTATGATATTTATGCACAGTTAATGAAAAATATTTTGTACTTTATACTAAAAGTATAAAGTGTATACTTTGTGTAACTTAACTATATTTAAGACAATCTTTTTCTTCTTTCTGTGTCTCTTACAGATAATTAGAGGACATTCAAGAGAAGAGGAAGGCAACAGAACTTGAATGAAGCGAGAAGATAATGAATATAACCATGCCAAAAGAGTGATTGATGGAAAGGAAGTGGGTTGATGATTGTAAAAACACATTTTGGAAATTCAAATGTGGAGCGAGTCTCAAGAAATGGAAATGGAGGACTTTTTCTGTAGATGTCTTTGTTAGTAAATCATCTGGCATGACTACATACTTGAATGCAATTTAACGAACGGCACCTTGAGGAACCCAGTTGAAATACAGCAAAAAATGGAGCCACGTGGAACAGATGCCAGCCAAAAATGCAGCAAGGAACCACGTGAGAAGAACCCTTTACAGAGAAAATGGGTTTCTGAGCCCTCTACTGGTACAAAAAGAAGCATTTATGCAGAATCGGAGGGTAAAAGACATTTGCACCATGAAAATCTCCAGAGTGGTGCCAGTGGGACAGGTATCGCAGGCTCTGGAAAGTTGCTTTTAAATGCAGTGTCTCAGTCATCTCAAGAAAGTCAGTTCTTTCCCCGGTCTTACTCCTTCCAGTTACCACATTCATACCCACAGCAGCCCATGCAGAAGCCTTTTCTGACTGGTACTAAGCCACAGCCTGGTTTGGAGGCCCATGCTTGGCCATTCCCAGGACAATTGCAGTCGCTGCCACCGGATGATATGTTTCCTGTGCACTCGCGCTCTCACGGAGTCTTTCCCCGTCAGAAGTCTCCGAGTTTACCTAGTGCTTTTGGCCAGTATTCCCAATCAGGCTCTGAACAACAAGAAGAAGGACACAAGAAGGAACAGAAACCTAAGAAGCCAGGGAAGTACATTTGCCAATACTGTGGAAGGGCATGCGCTAAGCCCAGTGTGCTTAAAAAACACATCCGGTCGCACACAGGGGAACGTCCCTATCCTTGTGGCCCCTGTGGTTTTTCATTCAAAACCAAGAGCAATTTGTATAAGCATAGAAAGTCTCATGCTCATGCTATTAAAGCAGGACTTGTTCCATTCTCTGAGCTGGCTACTCGCACAGACATTGATCAGGCATCGTCAGTTGGTGAGGCAGAGGTACATTCTGATGGAGAGCAAAGTACTGACACTGATGAAGAAACCGCAGATGTGGCGATGTACCCAAACAAAAGTAGCCCAGTACCCCAGATATCATTTGAGTCTGACAAAAGCACAATGGAAAAGGGTGGAGAACCAGCATATGCAGACTCAGCGGAAGAGCTGGCCATGGCGTCTATGAAAGTGCCTCTCTTAATTGTCCCAAAACAGGGGCTTCCATCAACAACCATAGAGTGTACTCCATTCACAGAAATGAAGGGATCTCACATTGGAGGACAACTGATCCGAGGAGATGAGTCACATACTATTAAACAGAGGCTTGCTTTAAGGCTAAATGAGAAAAAGGGCCAGGACTCAGAACAGTCTCTGAATCTCTTGAGTCCGCACAGCAAAGGCAGCACAGATTCTGGCTATTTTTCTCGCTCAGAGAGTGCTGAACAGCAGATTAGCCCACCTAACACGAATGCAAAGTCATATGAGGAGATAATGTTTGGAAGAACTTGGTATTACAGGCCTAACTCCAGATCTAGACAGGCCATTACAGTGAGCATGGCTGCTTCTGCCAGTCAGGACCCACACAACAAGTCTTGTGCCATGATGGAGCTGGACATGGGAAAGATATCAGAGGATCACATATTTTTCAGAGGAGGTTCTGCAGAATCACACATGGTTGCAGGCTGCGACCCTAAGCTGTATCCCGGAGGCCCTTGCCAAAGCAATGCAGGTCTCCTAGAGGCTCCTTCTGAATCAGGGACACTCATAAGAAGTAACTCAATGCCCACACCTTCCCCAACCAACCTAAATGTTCCACCAGGCCTGAGAGGGAGCCACTCGTTTGATGAGATGATGTCTCCAGATGACGTATTTTATCCAGGAGCAGCCGGTCTAAGGAGGCTTAGGAGGCAGGCCGCCTTTGAGCATGGGGAATCTGACAATTATGGAAAGATAACAGGCCCGGCACTGAAAGTGAGCGAGAGAGGTCTGTTGATGTCTGAGGTCAAAGGTTCAGGATCAGAGCTCGCTTGTCCAGAAATACGCACAGCATATGGCACCTATGGTACGAAGGTTGGAATGTCAGAGTTGACCACTAGAAAACGGCGTAAAGAAAAGAGTGTTGGTGACGAGGAGGATTGTGCTGGGCAGTATGATGACAGTCAAAGTGGTTCTGTTGAAACAGTTGGAGACTATGATCTAAAACCAGGAAGCCAAGAATCTTCAAGGGCTACTCCAACAGGTAAAGGATCTATGTACAGTGGCTATAGCCCATCAGAAAGTTTTGATAAAGGTACCAGTGTATGTCCAGAGGAGGTGGTGCTTGTTCAAGATCCTGACAGAAAGGCCGTTGGCAATGTTATATCTGTTATTCAACATACTAACTCACTTAGCAGGCCTAACTCGTTTGAAAAGTCAGAGTCAATTGAACATCCATCTTACCAGCCAGAAAAACCAACTGGTCAACTCTCTGAACAATCTGATACAGAGAACATTGAAGATGTGCAGAGTCCTGATTCTCTTCTGAGATCTGAAAGCATGGAACATCAGCAACAGAGTGACAGTGAATTAGCATCTTCTGCATCTAGCCAGCAATATCACATGCCTCACAAACTAGTACGGCAACCCAACATTCAAGTGCCTGAAATCAGGGTAACAGAAGAACCTGATAAGCCTGAAAAAGAACCGGAGGCGCCACCTAAAGAACCGGAGAAACACGTGGAAGAATTTCAGTGGCCACAACGGAGTGAGACTCTTTCCCAACTCCCGGCAGAAAAATTGCCCCCAAAGAAAAAACGTCTGCGTCTTGCAGATATGGAGCACTCATCTGGGGAATCAAGCTTTGAGTCTACTTGCACCAGTCTTTCAAGGAGTCCAAGTCAAGAGAGCAACCTGTCCCATAGCTCAAGTTTCTCAATGTCTTTTGATAGAGAAGAAAGCATGAAATCTGTCTCACCAACTAAGCAAGATGAGTTTAGTAAACAATCCGAATTTTTAACTGTACCAGGGAGTGGTCATTCTCTGTCAATACCAGGCCATCATCACAAGGAGATGCGGCGCTCTTCATCGGAACAAGCACCTTGCGCTTTGCCTACTGAGGTACCAGAAATTCGTAGCAAGTCATTTGATTATGGAAGTCTTTCAACATCTTCAAGACAAGGGGAGGTATACGCCAGTGCATCAGCCATGAAGGAACGCAGACGTGGATACCTAGTTAGACAGGCATCTCTAAGTGTGTACCCTGAAGTTGTACTTCAAGAGCAAGGTTCTGAGTTGAACATCAAGCAGGAGCATTCTGATCCACACGGGTCACCGTCATCTTGGCAGGGCACCTCATCTCACTCTGCAGTTGGCAGTGACCTAGGAAGACCCAAAAGAAGTGGCCAGCCTGTTCTTGGATCACATCAGTTGTTGCAGCAGAGCATCAGTGAAGACAGCCAATCAGAAGACCTACTGCAGAAGTCCCCTCACTTGCCTGGGCAACTGTCATCAGACAGCGAGGCTTCAGTACATGAGCACATGGGCCAGGATGTAATGCAGACCTCACTTCAGAGTAGCTTGGCATCATCTGCCTTTTTGCCATTTCAGACAGTGTTCTGGCATCCTGAATCAACACAACGGCCCAAACAGCATGTGTCTTTCCAAACACATCAGCTACCAAAACTACATATCAGACAGCCAAATATGCAGCCAATGCTACAGAAATCTCACCAACCCATTCATCAAATCCAGGGGCAAAGTGACATAAAGATTGATGGAGCAAGTCAAAGTTATCCATATCTCTTAAGAGCCTCTCCACAGAATGTTGGAGCTTTCTCATCAAAGGTGCTCACAACAAGCTCAGTTTTCTTACAACAAGTTCAGCCAGTCTTTGCCACTCAGAATGTAGGTTCACAGTCATCACTCCCTGGAATGATGGTCCCTGTTAGGATCCAAACAAATGTGCCATCGTATGGTAGTGTTATGTACACAAGTGTTTCACAGATTCTTGCTACTCATGCTCAGAGCAGTACATCTGTCAGAATAATATGCTCAGACAATGCATCTACTGGTTCTCTGGGCATGTCCTCAAAACACCCTATAGGCTTCAATTTATCCAAGATATTAGGCCATTCAGAAACATCTTTGCAATATCCACTTTGGAAAGTTCCAGAACCATTACCTGGGAGACTGAATACAGGCATACCTTTGTCTTTGACATCAGGAACTATCTCAACTACAGATGCCTCCTCCAATATTGGAGGGAGTAAGAGAATGCTGTCCCCAGCCAGTAGTCTTGAACTCTTTATTGAGACCAAACAGCAAAAACGGGTCAAGGAAGAAAAGATGTATGGCCAAATAGTAAAAGAGCTAAGTGCGGTAGAGCTGAGTAACTCAAGCGCATCGAAAGATAGTGACGCATCTCCACAGTCTGATCTTTTAAAGAGAGACGACTCAGTAGATGATCAGGAGAGGATGTCCTCATCTCCACCAGCTAATTTTCCACCATCTAAGTTCCCTGTGCGCCCCTGTGCATCTCATTTACCTGATGTGCCGCCCGCAGAGAGCTTCACCCCACCTCTCCAAATTGTTACCAATACTTCTAAAAGAGCAGAGTCCCCAGAGGAGCTTGATGTAGACGATTCCACTCCAGAGGCGAGCTCAAGCCCACAGTCAATGGTCTCTTCAAGTGATACTCAAGAAGAGCTAAAGCAGACCATGGGCAGTAAGATCCCTGTAAACATGCTGGTTCAACTTGCTGCTAGTCAGAGTGGCGGTGTGGTTGGGAGCACTCTTTTGCTCACTGATCTGGCAGATGTTCAGCAGTTCTTTCAGTTTCCGAGCCTTCGCACGACAACAAGCGTCAGCTGGTGCTTCCTCAATTACACCAAGCCAAACTATGCTCAGACAACTCCTTTAACCTCTGTTTATGGCTCTTGGTGTGTCAGCTCCTATAATCCTAACCCACTCAGTCTCAGCACCAAGGCAACCCTGGCATTGCTCCGTTCTAAACAGAGGAGGAACACAGAAACTTATACAATGGCTGCTATGTATCAACCAGGGACTGGAAAACTCGTTTCATCCCTGCTGTGGAAGCAGAACCTTGAACAGGTAATACGTCTTTATTGAATACAAATCAAAGTTAAACCAATAATCAAATCAAAGTAAACATTTTTTTGGATTAATATGAATGTTTATAATGTCCAGTGAGCACACAGTTTGACTTGTGGACATTTTTGCGAGTTCATGTCTATTTCACTTATGTTCTCTTATGTTTAGAATTCGGCTACATATTCTACATTTTGTTTACATTTTTAGATGAAGCCAGAGCTCATGCAGCTGGATGTTGGCAAGTTTGGGAAGAAAATGAAGGGGGTGAACTCAAGAGACAGAGGGAAAGAAGACCATGGAGAGAAAGAGGCTTCCTCAAAGCAGCATGAACCCACTCGCATTAAAATCTTTGAAGGAGGGTATGTGGAAATGTGTGTCGATATCCAGAGTATCCAACTGCATGCATTTGGTTTGAGTTTGGCTCTCTCTTTGGAAAATTAATTAAATATTAATGCTGTGAGGCACACATTGCAGCTTAGAAATGGTATTCCCATTAAAACATTATTGTACATTTTTAATTTGTAGCACCTCAAACATGAGATTAAAAAGTGTAGAACGCCATAAAAAGACATTGATTTAACATGAAAAGATTCGTCGTCACTGAAGAAATCTGTTCGGCAGTATATTTTGCTGTATTTTGGAAATATTTTGACTATGCATTTCACATAAAATATAAAGTATCTGAATTTATAACCATGAAAGGTCAACGTGGACTCTTGCATTAAGGCAGCTGTGCAAATGTTTATATTTAAATCAGTTGAGCTTGGAATAAGAGTTGGGTTCCTTTGTTATAAAAACAAGTCTTAATGATATAAAGGAGTCTTAATGATGTGCGTGAAATTAGCTCCTATAAACATTCACTTACGTACATGAAGCCACCTTATAATGTTAATAAGTCATGTTTTAATTTTAGGTACAAATCCAATGAGGACTATGTTTACGTGCGAGGCCGAGGTCGAGGGAAATACATCTGTGAGGAGTGTGGGATCCGCTGTAAGAAGCCAAGCATGTTGAAGAAACATATTCGCACACACACTGATGTCAGGCCATATGTCTGCAAGTTCTGCAACTTTGCTTTTAAAACAAAAGGTGGGTTTCCTCTTTCATTTTTATTAACTGCATATATGAAAATGTCTAGGATCAAACCAAACTTGATAGTTTAAAGGAAGACATGGACTGCAGCAAAAATGTTTAAGTTAGAAATGCAGACATTTGTACAGACATTCGTCTGCAGAAGCAAGGTGAACTTTAATTCCCATTAAATGTTGTTAAATTGGAAGGCCAGACGTCTCCTTGCCCAATCCAAGGCAGTCCTTTAAAACTCTTCAACTGTGGTTTCAGGAAACCTAACAAAACACATGAAGTCAAAGGCCCACATGAAGAAGTGCTTGGAGCTGGGGGTGTCAGAGACATCTGTGGATGATGCGGACGCAGAGGAAACTGGTATGAATCAGTCACTGAGCACATTATGTTGAGAGCAGCCAATAATGTGATAAATACTGTGCCTTGCACATTGCAATAGTGCAGGACTATTAGCTTAATGAAAAAAGAAGCTCAGCCACTGCCAGGTTTTATATAAAACGCCCAAATTAAAATCTGCAATAAATGTTCCCATTTGAAACACATCAATTCAAGCAGAGTGGGAAAGAATCCTAGTGCCCTCTTCAGTCCAGTTAAATAATTTTGGCTACCATGCACGCATTTAAGTGTCGGCCCCACTGTGGGGAGAATGCAAGTTATAAACTGGGATACTGGAATTGCAAGATCCCAGGCGATACCTCAGACATCCAAGGCCAGAAGTCCAAGAGAGCATAATTGGCCTCACTTTCACCAGGTGAGAAAGATGACTTACTCTCGCCACCAGTCACTCAGCCCAACGCTAGCCAACATGAGCTTCTGTTAGCTGACAGAATTGGCAGTGAGCGTTCTCCTCCAAGTGTATTCAACTGTCTAATGTTGTTACATTAGCAGCATTGAAAAAGATGCAGTGGCCGGCCTCAAGTGTTTCAAAGGAAGCATATGCAAACCTCCAGTGTTCCAGTCTAGTAGCATTGTAATATGACTAAATGTGGGGACTCAATTGGGTAAAAAAAATCCCCGAAAAATTGATATGTGAAAGACATGATATTCCATGTGACACTTTGATACGGAGACATGCTAATTTTGTTATACCCTTTGTGCACTGTTAAAAATTCACGTTTTGTGTGTTTCAGATCCCACTGAGGAGGTCCAGAGGGAACCTGGGAAGATTGGCATATTGGAAATCATGGCGAAGCACCAGTTCTCTGACGCTGATGATTCGGACGGGCCTGAAGAGGACGGAGATGAGGTGGACGAGGATGAAGAAGATGACGACGATTATGATGGTGATTCAACACCAAAGACACGCTCTCGAAGCACAAGCCCCCAGCCCTATGTCATCCCCTCACACTCTGTCACTGCAGTTGCTGCATCCCAAGAGGGCTCGTCTGAGCTTTTAGGCTCGGCCCCCAAGCAGCCTCTCTTCGGCTATTTTACTAGCCTACCCAGTATTCAAATCACACAGCTCGTGCCTAGTGAGAAGGCTGGGGAGGCCCAGATGGCAGAATACCAGAAACTCCTGCAAGGTGCTCTAGGTGAAGACTACAGAACTAGACTGGAAGTGCCTAGCTCCATGGATGAAGATTTTGGCTTGTCTCCAGAACACAGCTCATCCTCCTTTGACTTTTCCCCATCTCGTCTGTCATCGCCTGGCTGTGACTCCTCACCTCTTCGAGAGCCCTCGCCCAGTAGAAGATACTTGTCTCCAAGGCGGGACCTTTCCCCACGGGGTCGTTTGTCACCAAGACGGGAGGCATCCCCCCTTAGGCCCCTCTCCCCCAGGAGAGATGTCTACCGAAGGGATCTTTCTCCTAGAAGGGATCTGTGCTCCAGAGGCCACCTTTCGCCCATCTCTCATGCAGGGAGGCCAACGTCTCCAGGAAGGGACCTCTCCACCAGGCGTGAGCTGTCTCCCAGGAGCCGCCACAAGGGCATAATCAGACCGTTGTCCCCCAGGAGAGGACTTCACCACCACAGTGGTCCTTGGACCCTAAACCAGCATCCACTTGGAGAGATGATTTCAGCGGCTCAAAAGAGCAGAAGCCACTCAGAAATAGAAATGGTATGTGATTATTTCTTAGATATCATTAAATCATGTTAATAATTGAAATCATGATAGTTATGATTGGCATACTGTAGCTGTACAAAGTGTTCAGGTGTTAAAAACCTTAATGAGAAAGAATCTGTAGTCTGGAAAACAATGACTTTCTGTGACAATTGTAACACTCAGATATGGCATGAATTTTGTAGTAGTTTTTACCCATCATGATACTGGACAGGATGTTCTGTGTATACTTGGTTGATTATTCACGTCAGTGAAAATTGCTTGTTTCCACTGAACTGACATTTAAAAGATGAATGAACAGTGTCTATAAGGTAAACTTGGTATTTGTCGCTGTTCTATCTGTGTCGTCTTTTAGTGGTTTCTTTTCAAGAATCCCAGTGTATAAAAAGACATTTTTAATTGGGCTCATTTAGACAGAAATATTTTCTGAGTGGACGTGAATAGCACAGTTTCTTTTTATTAGTGGTTATTTCTGTAACTTAACCTTTTGTCAACAAAGACACCAAAAAGACTGCATGTTGATATTTACTGGAATTTTCCTGAAAATGTGTTATATGCAGAGTTATAACTCAATCCCTTCACTATCAATCTTTCAGGATCCAAGAAAGAACTGTCATCACCAAGGAGATAGCACCGAGTCTCCCTGCGCACGCCAGGGGCTGTTTAGCCACCTTCCCCTTCACTCCCAGCAACAGGTCCGCACGCCATTGCCCATGATTCCGATTGGTGGCATTCAGATGGTACACTCCGTCTCAGGCCTGGCCCACCCCACCCGTCTCCCTCTTCAGAAGAGCACTTCAGAGGAGTCCAACACCAGCGAGGTGTCCTTCCATCTCACAGAGGGCCGTGGGGCTAACAACAGCAGTCGAGGAGGTGCAGAGGATTCAAGTCAACCTCAGGAGAAGGCGGCGTCCCCCAAGTCTACATCCTCAGCCCCCTCGCCGTCTTCTCAGAATTCCAGAGAAGATAGCAAGGAGCTGGGTGACAAAGAAAGCAGGCAGGAGGAGAGCATCCAGACATGCACTAAGGCCATCGCTTCTTTACGCATTGCTTCAGAGGAGCCTCTAGAAAAGCTGGCTGGTCCTGTTGAGCAGTTCCACCAGTCTCATTCTCCCACAGCCCAACAAGAAAGTGCACCGAGCAGGCTTCAGCACTTCAGTAGCCCAGAGATCAGGCATCCCTCACACCCCGGCACCGAAAGTGGCGTGTCGGCCACATCAAAGACGCCCGCAGCAGGCCAATCCCCTCTGTATAGCGCGGAGGCGGCGGAAAAATCGCCCGGCCAACAGGGCCATGGCGAAAAGCCAGCCAGCACAAAGAAAGACAAAGAGTCGACAAAAGACAACACTGACAACAGGTGAACAATGTCAAAAGGGAGGGGCAGCAAATTACACTCATACAGTACGTTTACACACACAAACACACATACAGTCACCTCTCACACTCAAGCAGTCTTTAAACAAGCAAACTGATTAGATATTCAATAGTTTCAATGTACATGTACAGCGTAGCATGCCTTTTATAACCTGGTTTGCTATTTCAACTATGATTACTTTCTTATTTAAAATTTCAGAGAATATATGTTAACTTATACCTGTATATGAGCCTGACCAAAATTGCTTATGGACTCTGTCTGGTACTTTTAAATGTACAGATGTGTGTGCCTTTTTCTTTACTTTTTTTGCTTATATTCTTATAAGCATATGAAACAGGAAGACGTGTAAATATATCAAGTTTTGTGTATCTGCTTTGTATTAAATGCAATTTGCCGTCTTTTTGGACACCCGGGTCTGAATGATGTGAAGTATCAATATATGTAAGGTTGCACTAAAACATATTTTTATATGAGTGAAATTAAATGGCTTTTTTGTGTACAGCAGCAATTCTATAATACTATTTATTGTATCATGTTTCATAAATTGTACATTTTTCTTAATGTCGTGGATGCCTTTTCTATGTAAAGCATGGGTTTTTGCTATTGCATAATTAGAGCAAAATTATATATACTATAAAATGGCATTATATATTAGAAATATGTTATTGATATACTTCTAAGTAAACCTGTTTTACTTGGAAATATACATACACACACACACACACACACGAACACACACACATATACATTATATATATATATATATATATATATATATATATATATATATATATATATATATATATATATATAATTTAAGTAAACATATGTTTATACTCTATCTCATATACATACAGACTATATATCTGCACTTATGTTTTAGATTGACACCCATATACAGTACGGTAGTTAGCTCCAAGTGCTTGTGCCCTCCTCTTTCCTGTCTGCTAAAGAGGCTACACTAGTTGTGATTTCATTGCTCTTTTATGTAGAACTGTCAAGCATTAAGTGAATCAACTTGTCCACTTGTGCATTTCCTCCAAAGCATACTGAAGTAGTCGTGAAATATTAAAGGTATTTTGATCTTCTGTGAATCATGTCGCTTGAAGTACTTGATTTATTGATTAGTATGGGGAACATTCCAGCAGATGTAAATATTGAATGCCCATAACTCTGTATGCTCATAATCATACGTTCATACATGGGAGGAGTTCATCATGGGCCATGCCATCAGTCCAAAAACCATTTTTTTTTGTATAATTTGGAAAACTCCAATATTAAAATGCACCTTATATTTCTTAAATCTTTCAGAAAGAAAAAAGGAATCCCATGCTATATCAGTTTTAACAGTGGGATTTTTGAAATACAGATGCTTTTTCGAAAAATCTGTCTGTGTTGAAACACCTTAACTGAACTGGAGTCCAGAGCCAGAGCACTCTCCTGTATATATCTGTAATTTGTATTACGTGTATATGATCTATGTAACTTTCTCCTTGGACATTTTTTTTGTCAGTAGTCTCTGGTATTCACTTTTAACTGTATTAACATGTTGTTAAAACCTAAGGTATCAAAAGCACAAATCATTGTAAGGAAAAAAAAAGATATAAAAATGGGTAACTTTGTGATGTCCAGTGCGAAATATCATATCCAATTTTGACAATGACAATACAGGTTTTAAAAAAAAAGCAAAAAAAAACAAACAAACAAAGAAACAAACAAAACAAAAACAACCAAAAAAAAACTTGAGGATTGTTGTTTTCAAATAAATACAACTATGACAACTTTGCATGTCCTTGATGCTTTAATTGTCTCCAGTTGTCTCCTGAATGAATGGTCTATTATTACGATAAACGTTTGTTTTAGTACAAATAACCCATTTAAATTAAATCTTTATCCAAAATACGTGTGCAAACTTATCTGTCAAAATTCCGTCTCCAGCTCTAACGTGATGCATGTGTGAAGGTTTTGAGATCTAATTACAGAGCCTACAGTTCCTCAAACACACTTGGATGACTAATTTTAGCCCATCACTGGTTTTGATCAGCAGGTAGCATACAGTACATTCATCTCGGCTGTAATACAAACTGACATAAATAGGTTGATTTGATTCATTTTTGAATTTTACTGCTTAGATCAACCCACGTTTGTTCTCCGTTGGTGTTATTATAACCCTCCCTTTTAAAGGCTTCAGATTCAGCGGCCTGTCTGTAAACTTTGACACACTTATTCTGTTGGTTTTTACTGATGTTTTCGTTTTAATGTTCAGGAAAGCCACATTCAAAGCAGCAACCTTTCACTACCCTCAGCTTCACTTTGTCGTAGTAACCAATCTCTGAAACAATCTGCTTTCGTTTGTTAAAGCAAACATCTTCACCCAAATCAGAAACAAGTAAAGTGCCAGCACTGGACAAATATGCACCCAAATCTGTACTTAACTGATCCTGAACATTTAAATAGCAGGTTTAGATTGTTCCCTTTTGACTGGCAGTCATACATTTATACACGAGATAGTCCTTCCAGGATCTCATGGCCTTTTTTGTGATTGTTGTAGGTTAAAATGCTAGATTTTCACGCAGCTTTTCTCAGTATTTACAGCACTTTTTTGTGAGCACTTGTTTTGTTTTAGGTGTGGGGAGAGTTTGCAATTAACTGTAGAAATTTGCTACAACTGTGACCATGATATGCATATCATATACTTACAATATACCCAATATACTCACAGTAAGCTCACAATATACGCCATGTGCAAAAGTTTGGGCACCCCTTTCAAATCAATGTTTTGTTGACTGAGTGAAAATTAGTTATTCTCTACACACAACACACTTCTGCAAATTTTAATGCACTGTTTATTGCTGAATTCAACATATTTGGGGGAAAAAATAGAAAATATGTGCAAAAGTTATGGCACATTTTATATTTTATATATACATATTTTTTGCAGTATGTTAAACTCAGCAAATACATAGAAATTGTGCAATTAACTTGGCAGAAAATGCCATGTTTAAGTCTGTCAAACACAAGGCCTGCGGGCCATGTCGGGTTCGTGGCACAATCCTATCTGGCCCACAAAATTATTTCAATATTCAAATAATATTAATTTTTTGCACTACATGCACTACAACCCCCAGCATGCTCTGCAACATAATGTGCGCTCCGACCCCTTCCCGCTGCAACGGTCTATGGGGCAGCGGTCACATCACAGAAAGAAAAGCTGACGGGTGTCTAGTTCAACCAAATAGATAGTTTTTAAAACTTACCTGCTACATTTAAAGAGGTTTAACAGGTAAATGCAGCTAATGTAGCTTATTGTTTTATATAAAATGTTATTTTTTTATTACAATAAGTTATTTTATTTGATTTCTAACAAAATGATAATTAAAAATGAAATAAAAACCATATCTGGCCCACAGATTTGTAGAGATTTTTTAATATGGCCCTTTTTAATGGTTGAGTTTGAGTGTAACTTTTCCATACAACTGTATTTTTTACAGCTTATTTTGAACATCGCCTCGTTGCTTCTTATTAAAAAAAAAAAAAAGGAGAAGTATTTGGAAATGACATGTATGTCTGAGAAACGAGAACATGCAGACATAAAGGCACTAGATACTTATACGTTCTCAAAGAGAGTTTTCAGTGTTTAATATTGATATTATTTTGGCAGAACATGCACAGGCCACATTTTATTTTATTATTTTTTTCAGTATGTTAAAATAAACGATAATCATCCATTATAATGTGCAAAAGTATGTCTCCATAGAGGACATGTAACTTATTTTAACTGGGAAAATCAACATTGTCATTTGACCAGCAGCACCCAAACTTTAGAGATCCTTTTCCAAGTTTATCTGTGTTGAAATAGCTGATGGCCAGAAGGTCAGTCAGCCAGACACTCACCACCCCACTGACCTTGGATTGGCTTTTCATGTCATCTCTCTTCTGTTTAGCTGCCTTCAATCCAAGCCACTATGTTTTAATATACTGTCATTGCTAATTCTAGATACAATGAAGCCTTCATGCTTTCACAACCCTATTATTTTTACTCTTAATGTCACAAGGTACATGTAATCCTGCTCAGTGATGACGGGGTAACTGGCATTAAACACTGTGTGAGTTACTAGAAGTGTTAAAATAACTCTAGATTCCTCCCTATTCAGCGTTCTACATTGTAAATCTCTTACCCCACCCCACACACTATGATTGTGAAATACGATTGTGCAAGGGCAAGAACTGCATGCTGTTTTATAAGGCAAGTAGTAGCGTGCTTGCCATCCAGAATGAAGGCCATAGAAGGTAAACAGAGAAAGACGAGAACCGCAGTATCTTATTAGTATCTTAAAGGTTCAGGACGCAATAAACAATAAGCAGTGTGTCTTAATGTGATGACAGATCCACCAAATGTGAGAGTAATAATCTGTGATTTGTTGGATCCTCAGAAATACTCTTAAAAATAAAGGTTCCTAAAGATTTAAAGTATGTGGGGGTTCTTCATATAATGAAAAACCAACTTTTCTTCTGTTATTCTCAATTTAATAAGTTTAATGTGGTACATAAACAAGTTTCAAAACCATTCAGTCAGCTCTCCATGCAGTCCACATAAATGGGAAACAGCCCCTTTAAAACTCTTTGTTTTCGTGATGTCACTAAAAACCCAAAACATATTCATATATCCACATATTCAGGTCAGTTTTAGGTCAGTTTAGCCCTGTCCATTCTAAAGTTATAGGAAATGTTTTAGCCTAGACTGCTTTTTGAATGAGGTACAATACAGGGCAGCCAATAAGAATAAATCTCATTTACATATATCTGTCTTAAAGGCACAGTGACAAAAACAGCCTGCTTAATTAAAAAGGGGCAAGTCAAGACTGGAATTGTTGATGTAAAAAATGAATTTTTGGTACATAAAAGCACATAAACATTACAAGAACACCTCAGGAGAAGAAATCAAGTGTAAGGAAAATATAGGATATGGGCCTGGATATGCTAAAG